GACCACGATGTGATGAAGCGCCAGCCCCGTAAGCGCGACGAGCCTCTCATCAGCGGCTGGTTATTCTTCCGTTACATGGTTATTGGTACCTATGTCGGCGCCGCAACTGTTGGTGGCTATGCGTGGTGGTTCATGTTCAATAGCGACGGTCCTCAAATCTCGTTCTACCAGCTCCGCCACTTCCACCGCTGCTCTACCCAGTTCCCTGAGATTGGCTGCGAAATGTTTAGCAACTCGTCTGCCCAAGCTGCGTCAACCGTTAGCTTGAGCATCCTGGTCGTAATCGAGATGCTTAATGCCATGAACGCTTTGAGCAGCTCAGAGAGTCTGCTTACACTGCCGCTCTGGGAGAACATGATGCTCGTCTATGCCATCTGTTTGAGCATGGCCTTGCACTTTGCTCTCCTCTACGTTCCATTCTTGCAGGGGCTCTTCAGTGTCATTCCGCTAGACGGTAACGAGTGGAAGGCGGTCATGGCCATCAGTGCGCCTATCATGTAAGTCATCTTCACACAGTTTGTTAGAATCACCGAAAGAGCAAGGCTAACACGAATCCAGCATCATCGACGAAGGTCTCAAATTCCTCGAACGCAAGTTCTTCATCCAAAAGGGCAACGAGAAGCTGGAGCTTGCTGAACAGCAAAACGGCCGGGCGAAGAAGGACTAGGTGTCTTCTTCCTCTTCTTCTTCTCCCTCTCGCTCGCTGAGACGGGTCAGTGGACGGTCACATCTCCGCTCTGATCTGGTCAAGGAACGCATAATATAGTTACCCTGCATATAGAAGCAAGAAATTGGGGGAGTAGGTGGTTTCAGAGACAGCGAGGAAGGGATGTTTTGATACCTTTTGCATGAGACTAGGAGTTTTTGCTTTGTTCGATGACAAGTGGTAGACGTAGATGCGAACAGTATGAATAGAGCAACAGTCACGCCACGGTCAACGGAGTATACGCGTCTTGTATGTTTATTATGAGTGTTGTACAGGAAAGAGGTGCAATAGACAGGCCATCATCGGTTCATGCTTGGACGATCGCCAGCTATTTGCTGCCTCCATACTGCAGTCTTGCCGTCCTGAATATCTTCATCGGCTGGCGTATGAAAACCGTAAGTGACAAGGTCTGCAAAGCTCTTGCGAAGCCCAAATAGCCTTCGACAGGCAAGCCCAACTCTTACCTCAGGCTTCCCCCAACGCGAAGACCTCATTGACCCTTCCACCCGTCCTCCGACAATGCATGTTCCTTATATCCTACATCCACCAATCATCAACTCGATCCATCAACCTCACGCTTCACCTTAGCGCCCATCGTACTTTGCCGTCAGCCTCCTGCCCTCCTTCTCCAACTCATCGACCTCGGGCTCCCAATCAACTGCCTTCTCATGCACACCAAGGAACTCCCAGATACCCTGTCCCGCCTTGATCTTAGCCTGCTTACCCATCTTGGCCGCTTTCTTCTCCGTAGCCGTCTTACCCGTAGTCAAAAGATGCAGATCAACCCTGAGCTTCAAGTATCCGTTGCCTAGAAACATGATGTATATCTTGTGATCATCGGCAACCGTCTTGGCCTGGACAGTGCGGAAAGATGCGTGGGGGGGAGCATGAAACGCGTGTGTGGCATACGGCATGGAACGAGGTAGAATACTGAGACTGGCACTATGGGCACCGGATGCGGCGCTCAGACCAATAATGGAGGAAATCCTGAGAGTGCGCTGGCCGAAACCGTGGTTGTCGACGTGGGTTTCGGTGTACATGGGGCAGTACAGCTTCCAGGAGCCTTCAATCGCACCAAGAGGCATGGGGACGCGGGTCAAGATACTGTAGCGGAGGAAGGTGGATGCAGTCTCGGCGCGCTTGATGTCGGCTGTGGCCTTTTCTACTTCCAATGCGTTTGTGACGACCACCCTGAGCGCGGCAGTGTCGGTGTCATCGGAGTGTTGCAGTTGTAGCAGCTGTTCGCTCTTAGGGGAGCAGCCTGTTACTTGGGGTAGGCAAGGAAGGGGACCTGCTTCTTTGCTGTCGTAGAGCCACTCGTCATACTCTTCCATGTACTCGGCTTCGTCGGTGAAGTTGATGGTACGCTGGGAAGTGGTGAAGGCAGTAGCGAAAACGGCAAAGCTGGCTTCGATGTGCTTCTCCATATGCTTCTTCTTCTTCTTGTTGTTGTTAAAGGGAGAGAGCTCCTCGCTGGGCCGAGTGTATGGCTTGTTAGGGCGCAGATACATTTCCAGAACGCTTTGGGTTGTGGAGGAAGAGGTGCTTGACGTGGTGCTGGTTGCTTCGCTGACAGCACGACGGCCTCGGTGGCGTGGTTTGGGGGCATCATTCAGGGGCTCTTTGGAGTTCATGGGGTTCGCAGACGTGAAGCTCTCGATCTGGCTGTTGGTGAGTGGATTGACGGAGCCCTGGCTACCGATCACGTGCTTGTCGGCTTTGGCAAGTTTTGCGATAGTCATGAGAGGGATATCGGGAGACGATTCGTCGAAAGTAAGTGCTTTCTCGTTTTTCTTGGCTGTGGTCACTTCTGACGACTGTACCGCTGCAAGGCTGAAAGGAATCGCTGACACACGAGGAGTGGTTGTAGGAGTGCGGCTCATCTGCGAAAGAGGGGTCTCGGTGACAAGGACTTCAGACTGAGCGGAAACTGCCTTGGTCTTCTTGGCTGACGACTTACTGACGCCGTCCTTCAGGGTCTGGGGAGACTTCTGAGGAAATGGAACCCGTATCTTCTGAGGAAGCGGGACGGGTGTCTTTTGAGGAGGCGGGACGGTTGTCTTTTGAGGTAGCGGAACTGGAGTCTGCCTCGGACGAGAGGACAGAGCCGCTGCGACGGAGGGCGCTGGTACCGGGGTCTTGACGACTTTAGAACTCTTGTGCAAGTCAGAGGCAGCGGGCGCTTTCTCCAGTTTCTGCTTCTTAGCCTTGGTCTCGCCAGGCTTGACAATCTTCTTCGCGATCTTGTTAGACTCGACAACATCCTTCTTGTCCGAAACCTTTGGCCGTCCGGGCCTTTTCTTAGGCGACTCCGTAGGTACGGTAGCTGGCATAGGGACTGCGGCCTCGCTCTCTCGCTTGCGCTTCTTTGTAGTAGAAACTGGTGTGCCGTCGGGCCCAATCTCCCTCTTCTTGTACGGACCACGTGGACCATATCTCCCATTCTTGAGGGGCGTCCCAGCAAGCTTGACAGTAGGTGTCGCATCGACTGGTGGAGTGTTTTGCTTCCCTTCTACCTTCTCGGGCTCCTTGGTAACTTTAACTTCTTTCGACAGCCTCTTCAGTCTTTTGGCTTCCTTCCTCTCGGCCTTCTCCTGCTTCTGCTCATGTTTCTCTTCCTCGGCGGTTTCATCGGTCGCACCATCGTTGGTTCTGATAGGTGCCGGCTCTTCGTCCTCTTTGAAGTCCATGCTGTTGTAAGACGGACGCTTCATTGAGGCGCCTTGACCAGTCAGGTGATGCTGCGGCATGCGGTAAAGACCGTTAGACGGCATCGTTTCTACGGCTATTGGTATGAGGCAGGTGGATTCTGCTTCAGAAATGTGTTTGTTGATGCAGTTTATTGTTGTTGCCAGGTTGACTGGGCGCAAACAAAACACGATCGAGCCCGCGAGAGCGCGCGACGACGTATAACTTTTCTAAATCCAGTTAGAGCGAGCGCGCAGAAGAATAGCTGGGGCATGACTACCTTGACTCTCACGCTACAATGTAAAAACTTGAGCAATGTAGAAAGGTGCGAGGGACGAGGTTGACAAAAGTATGGGGAGGAAGTTGTGAGGCAGCAAAGTCAACAAACGATGTGCCTCGACTCGAGGTGAAGGTGAAGACGAGAGCATGCACTCACCTTCACCGTGAGTGCTGGAAAATGCCAATGTAGCCTATACCAAGACAGAGAAGTCAACGACGTTTTCATATCACGTGGCTGAGTAGGACTTACCAGCATTGAAGGACACGAAATGTTTATTCGGATTATGCAAACACATGTATGACATAGCTATGCGTGCTCTTTCTGCGGAAGCCTGTTCCCTTCATAGCTTCACGTCGGCTACCACTTAGCCCTTTCCCCTGGCGGTGGCAGGTCTGGATTTTACCACTCTTTGAGCGCTTCAATTATATTTGGACATCTACTAATACGATATGCTTGTTGACAGTAGTGGTGTCGGCAAAGGTGTGGTCGAGGTCGATACGTGAGGCACTGATTACGTGGACATCGATTGTCGGTCGCAGAGGGACCGTTGCAGCGGGTTATCTCAGCGGCGACGATGGTTCATCCATGCGAGTCAACATCTGTCTTTACATGATTGATACAGAGTTAGATGTATAGCATCGCCCCGCGTTCAGCCATCTCCAAATGCAATTGGTGTCTATGAACATCTCCACTTCCTCAGCTGTGACAGTCTCCTGACACTCCCGTCTGATGCATTTCGTAGATTTATTTGTACTTCAGGTCATTGTATGAGAGAGGCCTCATCTTTAAGGCCTCATGGCTCTATGTTTGGAGGGTAGAGCGTCTTCATGAAACGCATGTAAGCGTTGACGAGTGACGCCATTAGATGTTTCAGAGTATCTAGAGCTGGTCGCTCGAGTAGCCTGTCTGGTACTCATGAGTAGACACGTGGGGGATGGAAGAACAAGGCTGGTATGAGCATATGTCTGGTGATGTTGACTTTGAGGATGGTGTGTAAATGGAGTTGTGGTTACAAGTGAACATCTTTAGCATTCCACATAGCATCTCCTCAAGTATATGGTAAGCAGAGAAGGCTCGATCTAGTGATGTACGGCGTTTAGGGCTGGGATCCAACTTGGTCGGCTTTCGGATGCTGCCCTTGGTAAGCGATATCATGGTTGAGCTCAACAATAGAATGATGGCTCTAAACATACTCGTCGAACTTGAAAATGGTGATGAATCTGTAGTGAAGCATTCGTAACCACCAAACCGACCAAGTACTGAGCCCCTCGATCTGAAACACAACAAGTATCTACAGCCTGACACTGAGTTACCCTAGAACTATATCTTCTCATCCTATGAACCCAAAATGCACTAAGTGATTACAAATTACTCCTCGTCTCTCGCTAGACTGGCCTCGTAAGCACACGCGCCAGGCCTCAAAGACCCGGCGTATGTGCAACATTTCTGATATCCTTAGTTTCAATGCGGCCTATAGCTGGATACATATCATGCCGATCAATATAACTATTCACCGTCTTGACGTTCTCCAGTTCATCTTTGCTCCCCTCACTCTTGGCTGTGTCCACCTGCACCAGCGCGTTCTTATCCATATCACCGTCGAACTCAGCTAGCCCGCTTCTTGCCGGGAAACTAGTCACTTCGCCGCCATTCTCCTGGATGGGCGGGATACCCACCATGTCTCCGTGATCTAGACTGAGCTTGCGGACGCGAGAGTCTAGATTTGACGGCGGAGGCTGTGGTGTGCTGTCGCTGGGGATTGCGCTAAGGGACTTGGAGCGCACGGCTTGGAGGGTGTTGGAGTCTTCCGAGGTGGGATTTGGCGCCTCGCCTGCTGAGAGGGAGCGCTGGGGATCAACGGTCGGCGTATGTGGAACGCTGTTTGAGCGCTGCTTGTCGTGTACGGTTTTGCTGCTCTTGGACCACGACTTGAATTTGAAAGCCGAGAGCCAACCCGGGCGCTTTTCTTTGCCAGCGTTTGGGTTCAGGGCGCGTTCGGCAGCAAGCTGGATGTGGGATTTCGCTTCTGGTTTTGAGGGCTTGAGTCCGGCGACGTTGGCTTGCGAAGGAGCCGGAATGGAGCGGACATCGTAGTCTGACTTGCGGCGCGCGCCTGCTGCATCCACATTGGATTCTGAAAGACCCAGTACAGCGCGGTTTCGAGCGAGATTGGATTCCTTGACTTCTTCGGTGATGTACGACATGGCTTTGTCGATGACATCGATGTACTCTGGATAATCGACGACGCAGGCTTCCCGGATCAGACGCAATTTCTCCCAGTCTTGCCGCACTGCTGGCCCTGTGAGGTCAGGGTGCCAGCCCATGCTCTTGAGATCGGATCGGATTCCACGGTCAACCTGCTCCTTGACGCCCATGAGATCAATGAGCGCATCGACTTCGGTGCGGACAACCTTGACATACTCGCTGAAGCGCGTGGTGTCCTTGACGGTCCAATGGGAGGTGGTCATGCTCAGGTTGCGCTTCAGACTCGCCCGCGCGCCCGTCTGTGTGAGGAGATCCTTGAGGAGGGCAAACTTTTCGCGGAAGCCTTCTAGTCGGTTGGTGTCGAGTGCTGGGTATTCTAGGCGCGAGAACGTCTTTGGACTCTTTAGGCCGTATACGTTCATCAGTTCATCTCGCGACATAGTGCTAGGGCGACCCGCGATCTCATGCAGCGCCCTGCGCACCTTTGCATTGATAACCTCGTCGTCAAGCCTCGGGTCTCGGACACCAAAGTTCACTGGCAGATGCGGATCCGGGTTTGTGATGCCAGGATGGCTGGGGATCATGTGTCGTGCAATCGTCGCGGGCGGCGCAGAGATGCCCACGGCATCGCCAAAGATCAGCAACCTGCCCTGCTGAAGGCCGAGCTTTGCGAGCGCAACCTTCTGCGCATGGTCGTGGTCCTTGGAAGGATGAATGAGGTTGAAAGCTTCAACACAAGTGCTGAATTGGGTCGCAAGAGAGAAGACGTCGGTGAGGATCTGGGCCTTGGTCTTGCCTCCGACAGGCTCGGTTGATTCGACAAAGTCGGTGGTACTTTTAGTCGTCATGTTGGCAGGGCTCGTCGCGGCTTCAGCTCGAGAGATGTCGATGGCAGAGCACAGAAGCGCGCGCGCCAGCTGGAGGAAAATCAGGATACATCACGGATCCGGTCAAGTCGATATTCACTGCATGTGCGCATGACGTCTGGGGGAGAGACCAATATCCAGCTGTGGCGCAGAGGAAGCGGGGCACTGATCGGCAAGCCTCTGTCCTGTCTTGGCTTTCTCTGCACTCTCTTCATTCGCGAACACGCCCACTGTTCGCAACCAAGCATTGCAACAGTCCATGCCACGCCTTTGCCTGCTGCACCAATGTGTCTTCGACGCCACACGTCGCCAGGGTTAAACAAATGCCGCACTGCTCGGCCTCTCTTTGTTGGGAATAAACGTGCGACCGCAGATTCGGCTGCCAAATTTTCACTCTTCTGCTGCAGCTCGCGATCTAGATCGTGTAGCCATCTTGGGTGCATATCTGATTTTCCACTGCAACACGACGCGGAAAACGTTGCTTGCTGAGGTGCGAAGTGTCTTGGATTTAGTATGCGTTGCATCGCATCTGCTATCTAGCTCTCTAGGGTTTTGGGAGGGCCAGGAGGACGTCGTAACACTACCAGCGCTGTTGGCGGTCTGCACGACATCGCCCAAGGCCGCGCGGGCTGTCCAGTCGTACCTGAACTCATCCTACTTTGTCGCCCGGACGGTAGGAAACCATTGCGACGCTCGGCAGCCATCTGTACCACCGTGTGCGTGGAAGACGGATGATATCCAGCATCTGCGCCATGTTTCGTCGAGAGGTCATGTCATGTGAGTAGACCGGCTGTCAGTAGGCAAGCGGTTGCTGAATTGGCCCTTGAAAATCGCGCGTCGCTTTCGCTAGCGGCCGTCTAGTATAGGACCGAAAAAAACACACACTAAGTTGTTTCCATTGGAAGAGCTGGCGATCAGGCTGCGCACGTCGGCGAAAAGGCTCAGCCTGTCTGTTTGACAGCATTTGCAGTATCTGATGCAGAGCCAGCTCTAATACTGCCGCGCTGGGCGCGAACAAGTAGCATGGTCATCTCAAACATGGTAGAATGGGCTCTTCCCCCCCGGCTTCTCTTCGTTGACGCTCACCGCCGTGTTCGTATCGCCGTCTTGATCGCACGACCTTGTGTCCGTCTCTTGCTTTTGTAACTCGTTGCGCTCAATACTGAACTCGTTCGTGACAAATATACCGCTGCCCCGGCGGTCAAGCTCGTCCAGCCTACTTGCTGGCAGTGCATCATCTTCGCTCTCTCGCTCAGAGGCACTTTTGCCAGACACATTGCTCCTGTTGCCGGTTCCAGCCGGCCCATGGTTGCTCTTCCAGCCCATGGGATATGATTGACGCTTCGTAGTGTTCTTGGTACCCATGCCTGAGCCGAAAAGTGGCCCGAAAAAGCGAACGAAGGGAGCGCGCAGCATAGGAAGGCAAGCACATACGATACCCGCATTTGCTTCTATCACCGACCATATTGTCGCGGGTACAGGACCCCAGGTTGGATCGGGGTTGTTTGCGGATCGTGCGATTGTGGTGGCACGATATATAGACGCGAAAGTGACACTAGCAAGTTAGCAATGGGCCTTTGACGGAACTCTCAGACACGTACAAGCCTCCAGTGCCAAATACAAGCGCCACGCCCAACTTTTCAGCTCGTCCCATAGAAAGACTCAAGATCTGCCGAAAAGGCATCGCAAGTAGCATAAAGTCGGTCGTGATTTGAACCGTCGCATAGGAGATCCACCAGGGTTCATTTTTAAAACACCGGGCACCAGGTATAGTCCTGTCCCAGAAGGCCGCGATTGGTGTGCATTGAAACACGGTCGCGATGGTGAATGCGAAGCCGGTGATGATGATCCAAGCGTCTACATCAAGGTCAGTCGATGAACTGGTGTCCATGTCAGAGGACTTACTCATGATGTGACAAGCAATACGGAAAGACTTGGTAGTTATGGCAAAGATTCGGTAGTATAGACACACTACAGAGATCTTGTTGAACATCAGAACGACTTTGTAGACGACTGCAACGGTCAGTAAGCTTCGTAGTGACGCTTCGCACCATCTGCAACAAATATCCTTTCGTAGCTATTCAGGCCGGACTCCTAGAGCACTCATGCTCTCCAGAAGTATTGTGCGGTTGTTGAGAAACCACTTACTGTTTGCTCCGTAGAACCATTGGCGAGCGATGATGCGGGAATCGGCGGGTAAGGATTTCCATGGTCTTCCGTAGCCATAGACTACCGCTGTTCGAATTTAACGAGTGTCCCTCGAGGTGATGCGAGTCCACTAACCTTGACATTCTGTTACAGAGAGCACGACCGATGATATCAAGGCCGCGACGATCATATAGTCGTCCATTCCTAGACCACTTCGCTTGATCAATCGCTGTGCAAGGCGTGCGGCGACAAAGAGACCCGCGACAATGACGGCTAAGACGCTGGTGAGCCAGAGGCCCCATCCACGCTCAACTGAGCCTTGAGTACCAAGGCCGACGTTGGGAGCCATGTCGCATGAGGGTATACTCAAGGTTTGGAGAGCAAGTCCTGTGGATGACCCATGAACAGCGGGAGCCTACGGTATAATCATTAATGGGCCTCGTGCAGCATGGGACTTTCCAGGTACCCGGCCCTGAAGATACGGCGATGCAGGGTAAAGGGTGTGCAGCGGCTGATGACCCTTCCGTGGGGGCATCACGGGAATACTTTGACGGCGAATTTCTCTACATTCGTATCCGACGCGATTGGATCTGGTGTACCAATTTTCGGGGACCACACATGTCGATCTCTACAATGCCGTGCGCGCTCAGGGTTTTCCCTGCTACAGTCCAGGCGTTTGCCGTGAATGCCAGGGCTGACTGCCAATCGGCTCGGTGCAGTGTACTGAACAGGTATGGGTGGGTGACATCAGATGGAGATCAGCGGTGCCCGGAATTGTGCCGGATGTAGGCAAATCGCACTCTTCGCCTACGTCCGCCATGTTTGGATATTGAGCTGTATCGAAGAAGCAAAGGCTTGAGCGGAATGAATGACATCAAAGTCCCAAGTGTTCTGGGTCGCATGTCACGATGATGGACAGGTTCGCCAGATCGAACGGTTCCGTGCGACTGGGAGACGGGTAGCGCATTGGAACTAGCGTTGTAATTGCTAGGGCCGCAGCCGAGATGAGGCCTCGTGCGTACCCGTCCTGTCTGACAACGTCGAAGCTTTTGACGCCGGCGTAAGACCGCGCGCACTCGCCATGAGTCCTTCGCAACACTGCCATCTGCCTCGGGACTTTGTGTGGTCGGAGCTTTGTCTGGTTGCAGCCCTGTTTGTCCCATCGACGACGGCTGGCGTCGACGGCAACGCAGGAACGTGGAGCTAATAGCTTGCCACCGAGCCGTGATTTACATCTCGCTCCAATAAAGTCAGCTGGTCGCCCTCCAGCTGTTTGAAGTTATTCCGTCAAGCGCATGGTTGTTGCTGTTTCGAATTGAAATTATGCAACACCTCCTCCTTACCGCTGCAGCTGTAGCTTCACTATTCGGTTCGGCCGTCGCAGCGCCGAAGAATGGTTCCAACATCGAGACGTCGAGCGGTATTTTGATCGGTCACCCATCGTCTAACAAGACACATGTGACTGAGTTCTTGGGCATTCGATATGCAGAAGCGCCAGTCGGCGAGTTGAGATTTGCTGCGCCGAAGAAGTTCGACGCGCCAAAAGGGACCGTTTTCGAGGCGTCCGAGTGGGTCAGTAATCACGACGTCACTGGGTAGTGCTCAATCACTGACAGACTGTAGTCTCCGTACGTAGAGAGTTCGAACGTGCAGGATACGTCTAATGACTTTACAGTGACTGCCCTGCTGTCAAGCCGCCAGTATCAGCTTTCCCCAACTTCACACAGCCATCCGGTTTGCGTGTGTGGAAGAACTTCGCGGCTCAGAACAACAATTCGGTGTCCGAGGACTGCTTGAAGCTCAATGTCTGGACGGCGAGTGCTGGCGATGCCGATGCAAAGAAACCAGTGCTAGTGTTTCTTCACGGAGGACGTACGTGGTCCCTTCGGCTGTCATGGATGACTTCTAAAAGCCACGCTAGGTTTCCAGATCCCCGGCCCTCACTCTCCCTTCTACAACGGACAGTATCTGGCCGACGCTGAGGATGTCGTCGTCGTGACATTCAAGTAAGACACTCGCTGTGGTCGACCCTACACCTACTGACTGCGTCAGTTACCGATTGGGCATCTTCGGCTTCGCTGGTGCTCCTGGTGTTGAGAAGAACGCCGCCCTGCGCGACCACCGTAGCGCTGTCGAATGGGTGCGCGATAACATCGCTGGCTTTGGAGGCGACCCTTCGCGCATCGTCATCTTTGGACAAAGTGCAGGTGGTGCCGCTGTCGACTACTGGGCGTACGCCTGGAAGAACGACCCAATTGTCTCGGGTCTCATTCCCATGTCTGGAACCTCACTGAGCTTCGTTCCCAACACAGTCGAGTACTCGCAGTCTATCTGGTTCAATGTGTCCCAGACCATCGGTTGTGGGGGTCCCGCCAATGATTCTGCCGCTGTCGTATCTTGCGTACGTTCTGCAAACATGTCTACTCTTCTGGCTGCCTCCGCAAAGGTTCCTGGTCTTCCCAGCGTCGGCCTGACTCAAGCAACCTTCCATCCGACTGTCGACAACATGACGGTTTTCGCGGATTATCAGCAACTCTCATCGGACGGTTCCTTCGCCAAGATTCCGCTTTTGGTTGGCAACGCTGACCACGAAGACGGCTGGTATCGCATTTCAGGGTGGGCGGCCAAGCTGAACTTTACCAACGCGCAATGGGATCTGTTCACCCAGCGTGGCTTCACATGCCCATCCTCCTTGTCCGCTGCCTACAGGGTGCAGTACGACGTGCCGACCTGGCGATACAGATACCATGGAGATTGGGACAACCTTCGCCTCTACAACGGCAGCGCAGGCCTCGGGCCTCGAGGAAGTGCGGCCTACCACGGCTCTGACCTAGGCCTGGTCTTCGGTACCGCTCAAGACATCTCTGGTCTACCCAATTCTCCTGCTGAGGGCCAGTATATGAAGTATGTCCAGGGCGCCTGGGCTGCGTTTGCCCGTGATTCGCAGGAGGGACTGACCAAGTACGGATGGCCGATGTATAACTCGGGTAAGCACTGGGGACATCCGAACGCCTGTTTCTTCGCTAACACGTGTAAAGATAATGCCACACTCGTCGAGCTGGCTTATAACAACGACGCTATGCCCAAGTTTGTCAATCCGACGATCTATGACGCATCTTGCCCCGCGAAAAACGATCCGTTGCCTGGACGAGGTGCCTTTTAAAGGGACGTAGTTACATTCGTATCAAGTAGACACTCTTCTAGCATATTTACTCCCGCAACACCTTCGTGACGTTTGTCATTGCTTTGTTCTAATCATCATCGTCTGCGTTCATGCAATTCGCATCGCTGTATCCTTTCGAAATCGGTCGCATAAGATCACAAATCCAAATCTCGGATGACTCGCCGTTGAACCCGGCGTTGAGTCTGTGTCAGAAGAGGTCGTGTTCCCGGCACTTGGGTCCCCCGGACCTGGCCTCGTTCGGATGGCGTTAACGTTTATGGTTACGGCCCGTTGCGCTGACGCCAACCAACGAACTTTGTCGTAAGCCAGGACTGCACCAACGGACTGTTTGCAAGAACGCAGACGAAGGACGTCCCACCGCAACGGTTATATCTCATATCGACATCCCGGTCATTCGATTGGACTGCCGAGGTGATTGCGAAAGCGGCTGCGTTTGAGATGGTGGGGAGCACGTGGACGCAGCACACCTAGCTGCACCGGAGTCATCCTCCCGATTGAACTCATCGCGTATCGCGACCTAATCACGACTTTTGCACTGACGCGATGTAGCTAGGCTCATGACTTTGCGCCAAATATCTCCGCAACCGAGCTTGGCTGACCATTCATGGGTTTGCCGTTCTTTAGTTCCGTCGAGTAGGATTGAGGCTCGTTGGCTGCACGCATACAACTGCCGTTCTCCAAGAGCCAGAACGCAGACAAACTCTTCTGACCCGCCTCCTCCACTTGGATAGTTGCTTGACTCGCAATTCCGTCGCACAAATTCGAGACTGTAGCAGCGGACTCCTGAGCAAAGCGAGATTCCTATACGACGAACCGCGTCACGAAATGTCCAGTCACTTTGATATCATCATGAAAGGCAAACAGACTGCAGAGACCGGAGACAACAAGGATGATCCCCCGTCTTGGCAATACATACATCTCCCAATAAGGCGCTGGGATGTCAGAGTACAGGTACCGGGACTAGAATGCCATGCCGCGTCCATACTAACCCACCACAGCAAAGTTAGTGCAGGATCCTTGCGATTGCGGCGTGATGCGTGCATAGAACACGAGCTGACACCCCGCGCCTCGGGTCTATACTTCTAGAACGACTACTCTGTTAGTTGTCAGGTACTAAAACCAACAACTTTTCGGTTGAAAGGTAGTCTGACCTGCATTTGAACAGTACGCGAAACGGGCCGTCTTTACTACCGCAACGATGAGTTCACTGGGTGCCTGGCAGTTCACGCCACTCATGACCGAGTTTCCTACCAATGTGTTGCCGAACCTAGGATTCTGGAGTGCGACGAAGTAAGTTCTGACTGTACGAAGTGCATGTGGGACATATGCTGACTTCGTACCTCTACCTCTGCAGTGGGTCTTGGGAATACCAGATTCAGCTGGCATGGCCGCTGAACTGGACCTCACAGGAGGAGACGTCGACTGTGGAGACAATGTAAGGGCTTAAGCAGCTGTAGCGGCATCACGGGGATTCGGACTGACACCACTACTAGGTATGTCCTCGATGGCAATGCTCTCGGTATGACTGCCACAGAAGCCTTCCGCCGCCGCCGCCCCGTCGAGTTCAACATGCCCGACTGCATTGTCGTCAGCATAGGCTACCCGGAGACCATCGAAGATTCACCATACAGCACGCAGCGGAGCTACGACTTCCAGCCTCCAGTCTGCGATGGCTGCCCCTTACCTGCAGTGCCTGGTGTGCAGTCCAATGCGAATGAGTTCATCGAGTTCATCGACAGTGCTCTCCGGCCATGGGTTCAGGAGACGGCTTTCCCAAAAGCTGAGTTTGACCGCGATGCGCTCTACGGCCACTCCTTCGGTGGCCTCTTCGTCCTGTATGCTCTCACGGTACGGCCTGATCTCTTTGACACATTCCTCAGCGCTTCTCCGGCCCTCTTCTTCAACAACGATTACGTCTTCAACAACACGGACTTCCTCGCACCGCTGGTCTCGCCTTCCGCCAACGACACAGCCAATGCGACCAAGCCTGCTTTCCAGATAAGCTATGGCGCGCTCGAACAGAACCTGGTGAAGCGACGGACGGAGACGGACGAGGAGTTTGCGTTCAGGCAGAGCATCCTCGTGCCGCAGCGCATGACGGATCTGAGCCAAAAGCTGTACAGCACGCTGGAGGACAGCCCGGCGTTGAGGGATATCAGTATACACGAGTACCCTTTCAGTGACCATGCGGCAGTAGGCGCGGCAGCCCTGGCGGACGGCATCGACTATTTCCTGGACTGGTGATTGCGAGGGGTTTTATCGGAGAAGGGAGGGGAGGGAGGGGGAGGGGGAGGGGAAGCCGCGGTGGTGACATTTGCCATTCCATGTTAACGTGTCCATGTACCTAAGTTCCGCGTTACCCGGGCGCGACGGGGCAGCTGGGGAAGGGTTGTCGCATCGTGTGCGCTATAGATTGACGGATGGATGCGCTGAGAGTGACGAATGGATGCGCTGCCGGACTACCTGCCGCTTTGGCAGTATAGCGCAGTGCTTGACCGCCTTGTTCGAACACCTGGGGGACGCAGTGTCGGGTGCGTGTCACTGAGTGGTGGAAAGGAGCAAATTGCACGACATGTGTCTTGCCCACAGCACCCACTATGGTGCACACGGGGTGCGATAAGTGATGCGGTCAACGGGCGGCATTGGCTGCAAGAGCGGGGCGGTGGGTCCGGCCGCCAGCAGGAGGCTCAACGGATGTGTTTGATCAACGCCGACTGCAGAAAAGATTTCGCCTAGGGAACCCCGGCGCTACGTCATCTTGAGGGAAAAGAAGGGTCCGGTGAGAGGGGAGCACCACACGTAGAAATAGCATCGCGGACGCTCCCACAGCACGACGACGACGAAGACGACGACGACGACGACACAAGATGCAGCGCGCCAACACGACCGAGAGCCTGCGCACGCCCGGCGCCGCCATCTCGACGCTCAACCTTAACAAGCCCCCGCGGCCGGGCATGGAGCGCGCGCCCACGTCGACCAACCTCACACGCCCACTGCCCATCCAGCGCCTCGAGGGCAAGGTCGTCATGATCACAGGCGGCGGCGGCAAGGTGGGCGTCGAGTCGGCCGGCCGCCTGCTCATCGAGGGCTGCAACGTCGCCCTCATCGACATCGACCAGACGGCCCTCGAGGTGGCCGTGCCCGTGCTCAAGGCCGCCATCCCCACGGGCATCCCCATTGAGTCGCGGCTGCTGACCATCGTCGCCGACGCCACCAAGGAGCCCGACGTCGAGGCCTGCGCCAAGAAGGTCGTCCAGCGCTTCGAGAAGCTCGACGCCGCCCTGCTCAACTGCTGCCACCGCGGCGAGTCCAAGAGCATCTTCGACGTGACCGAGGACGACTTTGACCGCATCATGACCATCAACGCCAAGTCTGGTACGCCTCCATACCACCCCCTCCGCACGTGACTCGCTGACCACTGCCAGCTTTCCTCGGCGTCAAGTACGCCGCCACGGCCATGCAGACGACGGCCGCCGGCGGCTCCATCATCATCCGCTCCTCCATCGCCGGCCTGCGCGGCTTCCCCAACCTCATCTCGTACAGCGCCAGCAAGTTCGCCCTGCGCGGCATTGCCCTCACCGCTGCCGAAGAGCTCGGCCCCCTCAACATCCGCGTCAACACCATCCACACCAGCATCATCCAGACCCCCGGGTACAAGGACGGCTGGAGCAAGGAGAAGCTGGCCGAGCTCAAGGAGGAGACTGCCCTCGACCGCTTCAGCAGCCCCGACGACGTGGCCAGCGTCGTGGCTTTCCTCGTCAGCGAAGACAGCAAGTTCATGACGGGCGGACACTTGAAGATTGACGGCGGCTGTGTCGCTGTCTAGACGTTGCATTTAGCCTTGCTTGTTGTACTGCCATGATCGTCATTTGCATGGATGGAGTTTGGGATGCCCGCCTTTCTTCACAGGCCGAGGCTGCATGTTTTGCGCAGGCTGTCATCACGGAGCCGACACATAGAGGCACTTTATTAGACGGGTAGAAATGCATCACCACACGGACATGTGTCCGCAAGTACTCCATCCGTCAGCATGCTTGGGCATACCTAGGTGCTTTGCCATGACAGTGCGTGACGTCACGCCACTGTCATGGCCCCTCACTGGAGACATTGACGCAACACATTGGAACAGATAGTTCTACCCTGCATATTGACCAGGCATATCGGCCTAGCTGCCGACTAACTCGCAGCTAGTCTTCCTAGGGATGCGGAACGCCCCTTGGGCTCTGCACGGCGTCGTTTCCGAAAGTCTCCGCGAAGCTGTCATGGTGTGACGTGCATTAGCCATGAACCATCCCGCGAAAGGTTTCTTCTTCGCGAGCTCTCACCTGAATCCTCACTTCAACCCGTTGGAGACCCAAATCCACCATGTCCGAACCTACAGCAACCCAACACCATCCCAAGTTCCAAAATCGCAAGCCAGAGCAAGATGCCGTCGACTACGAAATGCAGACATATACGCGCGGACTGGACTTTGAACGCCCACCGCTCACCTTCCAGGCTGACAAATGGGAAGAGCTGGCCTGCAGTCGCATGTCAGCCGACTCAAAAGGCTACGTATATGGATCCGCCGGCGTACGGGAGACCACAGACAAGAACCGCGGTGCCTTTAGAAGATGGTCGATTGTACCCAACCGCCTAGTCAAGTACGACGGCTTCCCTGACCTGACAACCGAGATCTTTGGGGAGAAGATGGTAGCACCCATCGCCATGGCGCCCGTCGGCGTACTCAAAATCTTCAACCCAGAAGGCGAGGTTGCGGCTGCAAAAGCAGCAGCCAAAGAAGCTATCCCGTACATCCTGAGTACGGCAAGTAGTACGAGCATAGAAGATACCGCTGCAGCCAACGGCCCCAACAGTCAACGCTGGTACCAACTCTACTGGCCGTCACGCGAACACGACGACATCACCATTTCGCTACTTGAACGCGCAAAGAACGCCGGTTTTACAGCTCTGTTCGTAACTCTAGATACGTACATCCTCGGATGGAGACCCGAAGACATGGACAACGGGTACAACCCCTTCATGCGCGCCGACCGCACAGGCGTAGAACTTGGCATGACGGATCCTGTGTTCCGGAAACAGTTCAAAGCGAGACATGGCGTGGATGTGGAACGCAAGATGGAGGCTGCGGCGCCAGAATGGATGAGGACGATTTTCCCGGGCGAGAGCCATAGTTGGGAGGATGTCGAGTTTCTTCAGAAACACTGGGATGGGCCGATTGTGCTCAAGGGCATTCAGAGCTTGGCTGATGCGAAGAAGGCGGTGGAAATTGGCGTGCAGGGCGTCGTTGTGAGCAACCATGGGGGCAGGCAACTCGATGGAGGGAATTCGTCGTTGGGCGTGCTGCCACATATTGTTGATGCCGTTGGGGATAAGATGACAATTTTCTTCGACAGCGGGATACAATCGGGTGCTGACATTGCCAAGGCCATGGCGCTAGGAGCCGACTGCGTGCTGGTTGGTAGGCCGTATGTGTATGGTCTGGCGCTTGGAGGAGAGAAAGGCGTGGAGCATGTGCTCAAGAGTCTGGTGGGTGAGCTCGAGTTGACATTGCATTTGAGCGGCATCCCGAGCGTGCAAAAGAAGGATTTGAATCGCGCCGTACTCGTCAGAGAGGAGGCGCTTTTCGAAAGTGTGAAGGGGGTGGGATTGCGTTAGGGGGGATATTGCAATCCATATGGATCTTCATCTAATCACATGTGAACGTTATCGACCCTCTCTTTAGCGTTATTTTTCTGCGTCAACTGGAGATGAGAGAGTCAGCTCCTGTCCATGGATGCAGAAGCCGTCTCTGCACTTTGGTCTCCATCTCATCGACTCCCTCTTTACTCTACGAACCAAAAGCATCACCACCGAACGAGTCCAAGTTCTGACTGGCTCAACATGACCGAACTCGAACTACGACTTGCGTTGCTGAGATCTCGCAGCCTAATGGTACCAACCACGGATCCAAAAACAAGCAAGCGGCCCACTGAGGAGCCATCATCCGAGCCCTCGTTCAAGAAGAGCAAACATACCACTGAGACTCTCGCCGTACGTACTCAAGCCTTGGAGACGAAGTGATCTGTACTTCCAATTTCAAATTGCTCACTGACGTCTCCTAGAAACCCCAGTTTTATGCACACCCTACCGTCCAGCGCGAGTTCTTCCGCATGAAGGCCAAACTCGAAGAAAAGGACCAAGAGCTCGCGGCCGAGAAGGCCAAGTCACTCGAAAACAGCAACGAATACCGCAGCCAGATTAAGCTTCTCCTTAGTCATTACTACTCCCTGACCAACCGTACCAACGCTGTTCTCGCCTCCCACGCCACCCTTCAAGCCGCATATCGCGACCTGACGTCCGAGCTAGGCGCACACAAAGGCGCCCTCGAACTTACTAGAGAAGAGCTCAAAGAGTCTCGCAAGGAAGCCAACATCTTCTACAAGGCCATTCTGAAACAAGACGAAGATTACAAGCTGGTAAAGGAGCAGTTGGAAGAAGCATAGGAAGACGAGGTCATGCAGTGGACAGTCTTGACGAACAAGTTGTATTTGCTCGGGAAGAGTTAAGGAATGGGACGCGCAGTACATGACATGCTTTTGGTTCAAGTCGAGGAACAGTATGGCGAAGACAGGGTTGTGCTTGAGAGGGTGAAGCGGGCTCTGGAGGAGGCGTTTGGTGGATTCTTTGGAAGCGAGTGAGATGGTGGTAGAGGCGCGTCTAGGGATGAGCACATTGGAGATTGGATTTGGTGACGACGTGGACCAAAAGTGTGAGACCCTTTTTCTTTTCGATGGTAACGACTTCCTTACTTTTATCATGACGGGTGGTTGTAAGCTGCATGCATGGCATGGCTGGGAACTTGTACCTATAACTTTCTTCTTCCGGGTCAACGAAGACATGATTGCCAACTCCATTTACAGATACTTTGTCGGCCAATCAAAACTGCGCGGCACAAAATCCTCGTTGCCCGTGAACTATGAGTATCAATGTCATTCCGCTATCATAAATGATCTGAGTTTTGCAAGACTCAATGCTATACGGGTATATCAACCATCACCAACTACGCATGCCAAATCCCCAGACGCCAATCCAGAAAAGGTCTTTTATTAGACGACAAATCACACCCTCATCATCATCCGTACCGTAGGAATAAAGTCTTGACTATCCTTCTCTTGCTGTTCGAAGCTCTGTTTAAAGGCTGCCAACCCGGCGAGGATCCCGCATACCATAAACACCAACGAAACAAGCGACCAAATGACACCCCAGCATTGCGACGAACCGCCATACCGCTTAGCGAAGACGCTAGCATCAGACGAGTTGACCTTGCGGAGGATGAGGTCGTCACAGATATCCCAGACGCTGTAGAGAGAAGACATGACGCCGATGAAAAGCTGGAGCGGTGTTAGTTGGACTGTTTTTCCAGGGACAGGGAAAGACACTTACGACCATGAATCTCAATGCCTCGCCATGTTCGATGAACCAGAAGGCTACCAGTAGCCCTACACTGAGAAGAATCGTGACGATAGTCAACCAGTCTTTTCTCGCCCACCAAAGTGTCAGCAAGAAGCAAACGCCTAGCACTATACTCGCTACTTTGGACGCCACGATATTAAAGCCGCAGAAGGTCAGCAGAGCACCTATCAAAGAGGAGCCCAAGTAGCCAGCAGGCAGAGTTATGAATTGCTTGCCGCCGCGCATATGCGTTACACCGCCTTCATGGGGATCGAGGGAAATGGACTCCACTCGCCCGCCGGTACAGCAGGATGTTATTGCATGGGAGAATTCATGAAAGGCTATGACGAGCATCTGTGGGTTTCGTCAGCCATCGATATCTCTCATTGCCCCATGCTAGCTACATACCTTGAACGGCCACAACACCCACCGTACATACGGCAAGTTCCACAACAACGCAATAACGACAACATACGCAGCAATGACACCCAGCGTAACCCCTTGGGTGTGATTTACACTCAATCCACGGCGCTCAAAGTGATGCGAAGCCTGCGAGGCGACAGCCGGCCCCGCTGTGACCAGGGTCCGGCGCGCTAATTTGGCGAGCGTGCTGGTGTTGCGAGGCGACGCTGCTGGCGGCATGGCGGTGTAGTTGTACGTCTCTGTGATATGAAGTGTTTGAGCGTGGGCAGAGAGGAAGCCTGGGTAGTGAGCGGCCAAAGTACAGAGGAATGAAGATGCTGTTTTTGTTGTTCTGGTGAGTGAAAGCGGAGAGTGGCTGGAGAGAAGACGTGGAGCTGACGCGTTGTTTGTGACATGCGCCACGCAGCACGCTAAATTTAGCAGGGATGTGGCTGTGTCGGCATTTTGTCATCACGTTTACGGAAGAGTAGACATGTAAAGCAGACTTGGATTCTGAAAACAGTGGTTGACATCGTGTTGAATGGAATAGTTTGTGAACTATATATATACCGCTTAGTAGAGTGCGGCGTCATGCTTAAAGGAAGCGGGTCACTAAGCTATGCAAATGCATCTTGGACCCAAATACAGGGGTATGAACCTGAGTATACATCGAGAGAAACCGATTAACCTCGGCGCTCCTCGTCAATGTGCTCCTGATGCACTGACATGCCCCTCTCGGGCGAAGTATCGACATCTTTGTCGCCATACTTCTCAGATCCAACAGCACCAGTAGCACCGACAGCGCTGTGACGTCGCTCCCAGTATGAGTCGTCGCGTTCGTTACGGCTGATGTATCCAGCCGGAACCCACTTCTTACTGGTCCTGGCAGATAGGCTCGGGTCGGAGTACATGATATCGACGTTCTCAAGAGACAACGACTTGGTCTCGAAGACGAAGAAGTAAACGACACCGGCGGCGACGAAGTTGCAGGCAAAGAAAACGAAACCGAAGGCGTATCCGATACCGTCATCAGCGTAAGGTGTGAGGAAACCGATCAGGAAGTTGCCTAAGAATGGTCGTTAGCAAGCGAAGTCAGCATAAGAAAGCATCTTGCTTACCGAGCCAGTTGAACGCTGTAGCCAAAGAGGCTTGCTTCGCGCGAGTCCGGAGCGGGAAAGTTTCGCCAATGATTACCCAAATGAAAGGACCCCAGGTGGAGGCGAAACTTGCAATGAACATGCAAGCAGCGACGATCATAACGATACCGGCAGTGGGGTTGTCTTGCGGTGGGAGCGCAACACCGACGATGGCGAAGATGAGCAGCCAAGTAGCTTGCCAGAGACCGCCAATGACGAGCGGCACACGGCGACCGACTCGCTCAATGAGATACAACCCGGGGATCGTCATGGCCACGTTAACAGCACCAAGAATAAGTTGAACTTGGAGAGGGTCATCAATGCCTGCGGATTGGAAGATAGTCGCGCCATACTGTGACGATTAGCGGCGTGCATGTGAGGTTGTTGTCCGAAAGAACTTACGTAGAAGAAGTAGTTGACACCAGTCCACTGCTGGAAGAATTGGATAGCACATCCGATGAGAGTGCGGTATGCAAGACGCGGGATACCGGATGGCTGACCAGTGAAGCATTCTACCCAAGTACCTTGCCCGGCGCTCTTTTGCTCGTTAATGGAATCTTCCATCTCCTTGAAGTCTGAGTTGACTAGCTCGTGGTTGGGGTCGTGTGCCAGGCCTCGGAGACGAGCCATTGACATGCGCGCTTCTTCCCAACGGCCTTTGCCGGCCAACCATCTGGGCGATTCTGGCGTGAAGAGTACACCGAAACCAAGAGGGAGCGAGAAGCCGATTCCGAGGCCAATGACGATTCTCCAGGCAGCATCACTGTCTTGGCCCGGGTTGTCACGGACACCAAAGTTGATAATGTTGGAAACTGCACACATAGTAAGTACATTGTAAGCACACATCTGGGCCAGACCTACTCAGGATGCCAACAGTGATCATAAGCTGGTAAGATGCGACAACGGCACCACGGATCTCTCGTGGGCAGACCTCAGACTGGTACATCGGCACACCAATAGACAGGATACCGACACCGAGACCAGCAACGATCCGACCGATAGTCATGTGGACCCAGGTGTTCATCGCTGTGACCTGGATGATGTTGCCAATGACGAATATGAGCACACCGATGGAGAGATTGCGGCGACGACCAAACCAGTCGGCAGTGTAGGCACCAGCGAGGGCGCCGATGAGCGTACCGATGGACATGAGGGATACAAGTAAGGACGAAATCGTGGGATCGAATGCTTTCTCGCCATTGCCCTGGTCCTGTCCGAAGCGCTGGATGAAGTCCTTGAAGATGAGGATTCCACTGATTTGACCCTATGTTAAGTGAGCCACACACGCATTCACATGCAGAGATTGGCAGATACATACCGTGTCGTAACCGAATAGGAAACCACCTATCGATGTGATTACTCCAAGAATGATGGCTTCAATGCCGCACTCGGCACCGCGAACGCGGACAGAACTATGCAGAGTCAATATAGCGTTCATGCGTAGTTGTACAGCGTCAAACGTACACTTTGCCTAGACCCATGGTTGTAGTAACGATTCGATCACGACAAGACCGATGTGCAAGACAAGATGGATTTACTTGTTCGGCACACGACGAATCTTAAGTATCGATGCCAATTCCAGTCCCGTGTCCCGTAATGCGGTAATGCCCAGCATCGCGCCGAGCGTTCGACTCCGGGGCTCCTACGTCATACGCGCCACGCCGTCACGCGAAATAGCGCGCGAGCGGCCTTACCAGCTTGGCTTCACCTCCTCCACAGCCAAACAAAAGTGATCCGGGGGTCTGAAACTGCAGTAGTGGGCTTGTCAATGCGACGCAGCCGCTGGGGGACAAGGGGCGTGTATGTGGGGAAGCAGGTCGCGATTCGATAGCCAAGCCAAATCCGCCCGACGTTCCGGGAAGCCCACCAAGAGATAGACGGCCTCGAGCACACATGGATCGGATCGTGTTCTCACATGCTCATCTGACGGCAGGCGTTGTACAGGGCGTCCTACTAGATCCCTAACGTGCAAAGTGAACGCCTCTGATGCGCACCCCGCATTCAGGCGCAGAGCACTCAGCGACGAGCTCTAGGGACCGTTGTGCCGCACAGCCGGGCGCCAGAAACTTGGTGACGGTCGCGTGACTTGTGGATATCGACTCGACGACGCGTATTCTTCGGCCGGGGCCATGTCGGTGAAGATACTTCACTTCAAGATGCGACAGACGCTCTCGGCAGTGGGGATGATGGAGATGCGTACGACCCCATCCGGGCCTGTGCAGCCTCAACACCTGTGCTCCGACCATCCCTCCGACTCTTTGAACAATTGCCGCGTGAACCGGCACAAGCTTTGTCGCTGTGCTTGTTTTGGACTGCAATCTCCGATCGCTTGCAGTCTTCCTCCGGTCAAGTAAAGCGAGGGACCCAGTTTGGATGCAACGTAAGCCAGGTTGCGGCGACGGATTGGTGCGAGAGCGACCCACATGAGGCTCAAGGAAGACACTAAGAACCTTCCATTGCCTTGGCATGTCCGACCCGCATCGGACGAGAAAGTGAGGCCGTAATCTCGGCAGTTCCCACGTCGTGGAGTGGGTGTGAAGGCTTTGAGGGGCAGCCTGCGTGATGGAGAGAAGAAGGGTTGTGGAGGTTGCGGAGACTGGAGAAAACTTCCCCTCAGTAGTAAGCACCGGGGACGAAAGCTGGAGAAAGAACAACACAAGCAGCAACAACAACAACAACCTTCTTGCGCAACTCTCCCTACAACATGACTTGTACCTCGGTAAGTTACACGACAATTGACTCTCACGGCTTCTTGCTCTGTGCGGTTCAGCGCACCCGGTGGGATGTAGTAATCCTATAATCGCACAAGAGAAGAGACACTGCGCCGGGAACGCGCCGATGCCAGGTGCGATCTGAAGCGTCGTCATTCCCGCATCTTTCGATATATCAATGTCTGAGTGAAAGAAGACAATGTTCTTCAATACGGTCTGCCAAGTCACGTGCGGCGTTCCTTGGTCCTTCTAGGCACCGTTGGAACGCGATAGTGATGTCATCATGTCGCGCTGCTCAGGAGCCAACTGAGAATGCTGCATCAACCCAGAACCCCTAACAAGAGCACTCGAAACGTTGCAGAGTATACCAAACTCAAAATACCTATAGACAACCTCCGGACTGACAAAGGCATCACAAAATGGTCAAAGACAACGAAACCGTGATTAAGTAAGTAGCCCATGAACATCAACGCAAGCAAAGTGCTTACGGCATCGCAAGGGAGTTCAACGAGCTTGTCAACATGTCGGCAGACGAACTACAAGACTGGCTTGGCAGCGAAGAATCCGCCGGAGCCGGCTGGTAAGCTCTGCCTGCAATGAATGCAGTGCTGACGTTGCGAATCCTATGACATGCATGCCCTCTAAGACGCCTACAGGTCTAAAGATAACGGCTCCGGCGAGACAATCGGCCACGATTCGGGACGTAAAATCGTTACTATACTACAGAACAATCCGCAGAAGGACGCGGATAAATATGAGCAAGAAGACATTGACCACATGCGCAAGGTAGTAGCATACTGCAAGAGGCATCTTGCGCAAGAGGACAAGGCGAAGAAAGATACGGATAGCAAGAGCTACAAGAGTTTGAAAAATTGGGGTCACGACGCCCAGAAGGCTTGAGCATATGCACGAATGGGGACGATGCTTGAGGAGGTGTGAAATCGGCAGAGGCGGAACAAGTAGCGATATGCATATATCGAGTCCAAACCACAGGCTTCCAAGGTTTTCACAACAATGACATGAACACATCTCACTTCATCATCTTGTGCAGGAGACATGGAGTTCAAGACGACTGTATAAAAAGTGGAGTAGAGTAGAAACAATGCTTGAAAGCAATCTAGGTAGAAGCGGCGCACAGGACAAGTATCTTGGTCTACAGGGCAGTCGACCTCTTGCGACCAGCGAAGTAGTTTCCCTATGATTTGTTAGTATCGCATTTTGGGTAGTCGGATCGGTGATACTTACTTGCGCGCCACCCACGCACGCTGGCTGCTCCATTTCCTCCGTCTTTGTTCTCTCAGGTGGGCTTCTGCGCATGAAGCACTCGCCTACGTGATGGCCCTCATCGCACGCAACGACCCATTGGCCCATACCCATGTCCTTGGGAGCCTGCCTGACACCTCTTCCGCCGCCACCTACAATCAAATTGCCTGGTCGGTAGGTTGGATCCGCGCGCATACGCTTAATCACGCTGCTGTGGATGACGGCATTCGCGGGTATATCGCGGGTCTCACCCTTGGGCAAAGGCCATCGGATCGCTTTCCATGTCCCATCTTCCTGTAAGTCCATGCGTCGGAAAGGCAGGTATTCCATTATGTTCCACGAAACGACACC